CGACTGGGATTTCCTTATAGGACGAAAGAAACACAGAGAGGCCTTAGTGTCTGGGCAAGGAGCAGACATAATTCGCTGCGACTCAACTGCGAAGGAAGTATGTCAAACTTCTGAATTCGAAAATTACACTGGATTGGCCCTTCTACGGAAGTAACTCAGCGTCACCTACTTCCGCTACGGATGGCTTAAAGCCATCAACGCAGTCACTTCTCTTCAGTGGGCCTGGTGGCAGCGAGACGAATATGCAACCGAGTTTCTTCTGTCTCACCCTACAGGTAGAGTTTGTTTCTTCGCCCGACGGTTTTTAGTCCGATGATAGCTTTCTTTTGCTGCTACCGGGCCCACTGGTTGGCATTTGTTCTGATTTACTGTCATGGTTCAACATATGTTCATCCATCCTGTTGTGTAGTGGCGATATTGAATCTAACCCCGGCCCCGAGACGCTAGCTCTCTTTCAGCAAATACTTACTGGCCAAACACAAATTGATGCGGACGTTACTTCTATCAAGAATAGACAAGAGGCTCTGGATCCTAATTTTGCTGACTACGAATCCCGACTTGTTGCAATCGAAGCTGGCTCGTCCCAGATATCTGATATCGCCCGACGGTTGCAGTATCTGGAGAAAAAAAAAAAGTGCCGCTCTTGAAACAGCTGTCTGTCAACTTACAGATAAGAATGATGATTTTGAAAACCGTTCTCGCAGAAACAACTTGGTCGTGTATGGTCTAGAAGAGCCTGTTAATTAAACCCCTGCATCACTACTGGATAGTGTAACTGAACTGCTGACTAGAAAACTGTCTGTAACTGAGATGTCATAGAGCGCTGGCATCGTCTTGGTAGGCCTGCAGAAGGTAAGATACGACCTGTAATGTTTAAATTGATTGACTTTCGTGAAAAGATTCGGATACTCAAATATGTTTCTAAACTTAAAAGGCACATGGATATTTGTTAACGAGGGTTTCTCACCACGTATTCGAAATATTCGAAAAGAATTTTGGCTTAGTACAGCCGAATTCCGAAGAAATGGCGCAAAGGCTCGTCTGCGTTACGACCAGGGTTGGGCAGTATCGCGATACAAATGTATCGGGATACTATTTCAGAAATACATATCGCATCTGTATTTCTGTATCGTGATACATTTTTTTCAACAGTGTCTGCATTCCTGTATCAAAATACATTGGAATGTTTCTTTGTATCGCGATACAATCAGGATGAAATGTATTGCGTTACATTTCTTGAAAAATATCCCCCCCCCCCCAAAAAAAAAAAAAAAAAAGTGCGAACGTATTTTTTTTTTTTTTTTGCTTCCGAGGGCCTTAGGGTCAAAGAGATGCTGGGGCATTGTTACTATGCTGACCAAGGTTCCTTTTGATTCTGCAAACTATTTTTCTATGCGTCCTCTTCTCTCTTCTGAGAAGTGTTGCGTAGTCGGGGACTCGAACCAGGTGGCGTGCCAGGAGTGGAGTCAGAGCATCTTCTGCCGCAGGTCCTTAGGTAGGGATTTCTTGAGTCATTGTTTGCTGGCATCCAATGCCCGCTGCTAACCGTCTCTCTCGCCTTAGCGTGCAGAGTACACCCAGCCGGCAAATCTGAGTCACATTCTGTTGTGTACGAAGGTAGACGACAGCTTGAAGACTGAGTAGGCGTTTATTACTACATGGTGCAACTTGACCAGTACCAAGCGTGAGAAGAACTGCAAGGAGCGAGAGCGCTTGCTTTTCTAGAAGCTGCCGCGACCACGTGAGCACACGCGACTTTTGATAAACTGTTATCGGCAGCGCCGCTATCTATAACATTTCCTCCCGCTTAAAACAGTGCTATGTCGGGGAATAGCGGTCCGGAGGTCTTCGGGTTCTTGTGGGGTATCTGGGAGCAGGAGGCGGCGAAACGGTGGCTGGTGCCGCTTGCGGACTTCCAGGAATCTCAGCAGGCGTTGTTTGAGAAAAGGATGCTCGAGGACTGCTGGTCACGTGAGGGGTGCCGCTGGCAGCCGATGTAGAAGAGCACTCCCACGAGGTGTCCTCTGCCTGCTGCTCTTGGTTGACGCTGGGAACACTGCGCAGCAGCTTGATGACGATGCCACACTGCGGGGCTACGTGACGTTTGCACCTCCACTGTGTAGGAAACTGGTCCCTTGTGCTGTACCATGACGGCTGTCCCCTGTAATTACGAACCATAACAGCATCGCCGACCGTGATAGAACGGGGCGTGGAGGGACGCTGGTAGCACTCACTGCATGAATTGGCTATGCCCAACTCGCCCTTCTATCATTGGTTTAAGAATGTCTTGCCTAGATCGCAGGCGTCGACCGAACATCAGATTCGCCAGGGCCTCTTTTCTCGTAGCGTGGGGAGTGTTCCTGTACGTCAGTAGGAACTTGTGAAGAGTTTCGTATAGGCTTTCTGTGTTCTTCCCTTTTATTAATGCTTTCTTGAGCGATTCAACAAAACGTTCGGCCAGCCCGTTTGAACTGGGGTGATAAGGGGCCGTTGTGACATGGCGTGCGCCCAGTTCTCGGATGAATGCTTTGAACTCGGCAGAGGTGAACTGTGATCCGTTGTCGGAGACAATGGTGTCCGGATATTCAAATCTCGCGAACATCTCACGGAGACAAATAATTGTGTTCTGGCTAGTTGTGCTTTTCATCACACAGACTTCTGGCCATTTAGTATGGGCGTCAACGACAACAAGGAACCTGCACTGACGAAAAGGTCCTGCAAAATCAACGTGCACACGTCTCCAAGGAGCAGTCGGCCAAGACCACGATGCAAGGAAGCACTGTTCGGAGCGTTGTGCTGCTCTTGACATTGCTTGCTATGCTTTACGTGTGTCTCGAGATCACAGTCAATACAAGGCCACCAAACATAGCTTCTGGCCAGTTCTTTTGTCCCCGCCAGACCAGGATGTCCGTCGTGAAGCTCTTGAAGATCCAGAGGCCGGAGCTTTGGGGGTACGACAACACGCATGCCGCAGAGGAGACATCCCTGATGCAGTGTGAGCTTGGTCCGCCTGTTGAAAAATGAATTGAGTTCCGCATCCTGCACAAAGTTTGGCCAACCCGTACTTGTCAACTCAATAACCTTGCAAAGAAGGGGATCTTGCGCGGTCGTCCGTGCGATGTCCTTGCTGGTTACAGGCACGGCCTGCAGACGTAAGGAATAGAACGTTTCATCAGCTTCGTCGGAGTCAACTACATGCAGTGGTAAGCGCGAAAAACCGTCTGCTTCTACGTTTTCACTTGTACGTTTGAACTTCAAGAAATACGTGTATGCGGACAACGTCACGGCCCAACGCTGAAGGCGTGCTGCTGCTATCGCCGGGATTCCAGTCTTTGGTCCTAGCATCGTCTGCAATGGCTTGTGATCTGTTATCAGTATAAACTTGCGGCCGTATAGATAACAGTGAAATTGTTTTACACCAAAGATAAGCGCGAGCGCTTCTTTCTCCAGTTGACTGTACTTTTGCTCTGTCTCCGACAACGTTCTCGATGCGTAGGCGACAGGACGAACCGTTCCATTTGGGAAGATGTGCGAAAGTACAGAACCTACCCCGTACTGTGACGCGTCGCAGGCCAGCTGAAGGGGCATCTTCGGATCGTAGTGGGCCAGGACCTCCGTGGAAGCCAGGGCGTTCTTGATGTCGTCGAAGGCTTTCTGGCAGGCACGGGTCCACGACCAGGTCTAGTCCTCACGCAGGAGTATGTACAGCGGGTGTGCCATCGTCACTAGACGTGGAAGAAACTTGCCGTAGTAGTTGATAGCTCCGAGCAGTGAGCGAAGCTGCTGTTTGTTGGCTGGTGCGGGCGCAGCTCTGATGGCGTCAGTCTTCTTCGTCGGGGTGTGGATGCCAGCTGCACTGAGCCTGTGGCCAAGGTAGTTGAGCTCTTTCTGGAAAAAGGTACATTTTTCAGCCTTGACACGGACTCCTCGTTCAGCCAACCGCTTGAGCACTGCTTCTAAATTTTGGAGATGCTCAGTCCCAACCGCTTGAGCACTGCTTCTAAATTTTGGAGATGCTCAGTCCTTGACCTCCCAGTACCAGGATATCATCCAGATAACAAGCGACGCCCTTAAGGTCGCTTAGCATAGTGTCCATGATACGTTGAAAAATTCCTGGGGCTGACGAGACCACGAAAGGGAGTCTGTTCATGGCAAACAAGCCTTTATGCGTGTTAATTGCAAGGACACGGCGCGCAGAATCAGCCAGCACAACTTGTTGGTAGGCCCTATTCAAGTGAATTTTTGAAAATTCTTGCCCCCCAGCAACCGCAACGAAGATTTCTTCAACTCGCGGCAAAGGGTAACGGTCGGTGTCGAGCATGGAGTTTACAGTAGTCTTATAATCCCCACAAAGGCGAATGTTTCCATCTTCACAACCGGTACAACCGGTGTTGCAAATTCGCACGTCGTGATTGGGGTGATGACCATCATAGCCTCCATTCTTTTCAGTTCTTTTTCAACCGCAGGGACAAGGGCAAATGGTACACTCCGTGCTTTCAGGAACCTCGGGCGAGCGTCTTCCTTCAGAAACACCTCGGCTTTCTCTCCCTTTATGCATCCAAGCTCTTCTTTAAAGAGGTTACTCTACTTGCTCAAAAGTTTGCTTACCTCGGCTTTGGCTCCCTTGTCAGTCGTTCCGAGCGCCGAGGAAAGCTTGTTGCACGTGAAGATAGTGTTCCAGACCAAGCGCAAACGCTGAAGCCACTGTCGGCCCAAGAGCGGTGGCCGTCCCTGCTCGATAACATACAACGGCAGGACATGTATTTGCCCGTTGTGTTGGACTGTTACGTCCACAACACCTTTCGGTTCCACAAGTGCTCCAGTGTACGTCCGGAGGCGCAACGCCGTAGCTGTCAACTGCAGAGAAGGAACCAATCGCTGTTGCCGCTTTGCCGATATTACAGACACCGCCGCTCCCGTGTCGAGCTCCATCTCGAGGGGCGTTTCGTTGACGATGACGCGGACGTTTATCGGTTTTTGCTCTGGACACGTGACTCCGTTTAGTGCACGTCAGGCGCTCTACTCAGAACTTTCAAGTTCTTTCTGCGGTTCGACTCGTTTGCACGCTTATCAGCTTGATATATCAGCTGGATGTGTCCTTTCTTTCCACAGCCAAAACAAGTTGCTGACGCGTGCACGCAATCTTTCCTCGTGTGCTTCGGCGATCCACATCCGAAGCGATGCTTAGAGGGCGGCTTCCCTTCTGTGCCGCTCGGTTTTGTCGAAACTTGTTTCTGGAGCGGTTTCCTTGTCGCGTTGAATTTATGCACGTCTGAAAAGTTTTCTTCTGTCCCTTGAACTTCCGCGACATTTTTCGTTGCGGCTTCCATTGCCAAGGCTCTTTCGACAGCCTTTGCAAACGATAGTTTCTTATCTTCCGCAAACAAAACCCTTTGTATGTCTACTCGCCGTAAACCGCAGAAAAACCTATCACGCAAAGCTTCGTCCAAAAATCCTTCAAAGTCGCACGACTGCGAGAGCTTTCGTAGTTCCGCCACAAAGTCAGCAATAGATTCGGTTTCATTTTGTGAACGACGGTAAAATTTGGATCGCTCACCGATCACCGACGGTCTGGGTGCCAAGTGGTCGCCAAGTATCCTCCGTAACTCGTCGAAGGTCTTGTTGGACGGCAGACTCGGTGCGGTCAGGGACTTGAGGAGGCCGTACGTTTTGGGTCCAATGAAACTGAGGAACGCTTGTACCTTGTCCTCTTCGGGGACCTTGTTGAAACGAAGAAATGACGTCAAACGTTCGTCGTACGAGGTCCAGTCACTTGCGGAGTCGTCAAATGGCTCCATGTGACCGAGTCGCCCCACGACTTACGTGACTGATGTCGCCATACCTTCGTCCAGCTTGGCAGTGTGTACTCTGCAGACAGAAGAACCGCATCCGCTTCTTCTTGAGTTTTGTAGAATCACCGCCGTCTCCGCTGTTACTCGCCGCCACTTGTGTATGAAGGTAGACGACAGCTTGAAGACTGAGTAGGCGTTTATTACTACATGGTGCAACTTGACCAGTACCAAGCGTGAGAAGAACTGCAAAGAGCGAAAGCGCTTGCTTTTCTAGAAGCTGCCGGGACCACGAGAGCACACGCGACTTTTGATAAACTGTTATCGGCAGCGCCGCTATCTATAACACATTCCGTTGCAGCACGAGCCTGGCGGTGGTTGACTTGAAATAGTAGGAAGACTCACGCTGTAAAGTTCAACACATATTCGAATGCATCTGCGGCTGCGCCCATAACATTGCACGGCTCAAGGGTACGCCATCAGCCGACGTGAACGTGACCCACTGCTCTGGTCATCCGAAACCCAGCGAGGGGAAACCCCTCGCTGTGCCATCCCAGGCTACGTACTCCCGCGACTCGTCTCAAGATTGCTGTTTCTCAGACAGCTCGCACCTGTGCCGGCAATATCAGCTCGCAATCCACGAGCTCTCTGTTTGGATAATGCTAGGCAGAACTTGAGGACTGCGATCCGTGCGTCGGTGGCGGAAGGTCGGTAGTAAGGATCTTCAGAACAGGGATGCCACCGTATCGTCTTTTCAGCCGCAACAGAAGATAAGACATGTATTCCAAGATGCTTCAGGTGGTCCACTATTCTCAAAAATTCCAAATGACACTGCATGCACGATCTTCAACTAGGTAGCCTACAACGAAAGTACCTATTTTCCTTTCATACAGCAGCGTGGTAAAGTTTCATGTTCAAGGCCACACCTACAGATAAAGAATACTAGTTCGTTAAACCGTGACATCATGTGATCAATGTTGACAGGATTCCCTCGTCAGACAGACAGGATATCATGGAAGGGACCGCGGTCAGCCCTTGATGGGACGTTTTTTGGGGCCCATTGAAGACTCCTTGTCGTCCGAAACCACTACCTTCAAGGCAAAGTGCCAAGCCTACAGGAAAGTAATTTCGGGATCGAAAACATCCACTTCAAACGTCAAGCTTCATCTCAGTTGGCGTCTCAAAAAATTTGAAAATGTATTGCACTATCAGTATTTCTGTATTTATATTTCTGCCCTCCCTAAAATGTATTTTTGTATTTGTATTTCCAAATAATCTTTGCCTCTTTTTAAAATATATTTCCGATACGTATCGCGATAAATTTTTACAGGTGTATCTTAGTATCAGTATTTTAGCTCCTATTTTAATGTATCCCAGCATTTGTATTTCCAAATACATTTTTTAGTATTTCTGTTCAACCCTGGTTACGAACACGCTCTTGTTGACAACGACCGATACTCGTGGGATACAACAAATAATATGCTGATAAAAGTTCTCCCTCCAGTTCTTCCCACTGGATCTAACTGACAGTTACTGAATAAACCATTGTGTGTATTAAACATTAATGCTCAGAGCCTTGTCCCTAAATTTACAGAATTCTCGTGCATTGCAGCTTCTTATTCACCGCACGTGATGTATGTTACCGAAAACTGGTTACACGATGACCTTCTTGATTGCGAATTCCCAACTCCTAATTACAACGTGGTACGATGCGATAGATCTTCTAAAGGTGGTGGTGTTGCGCTTTTTTTTTTTTTAATCTGGTTTTAGCTTTTCTGTTTTCCCCAGTTTACCTAACACACAGTCTTTATGGTGTAAGGTGCGGCTTGATACGTTCGTTCTTGTTATCGGCGCGCTTTATCGGGCTCCTGGTTCAAGCCTGCAAGCCATCTTTGGCATATATGACTACATTCACAAATACAATCTGGCTAATTTCAAGCTTCTCTTGCTGGGCGATTTTAATGCACCCGATATAAACTGGGAAACGCTAACTTTTGGCTGTCGCGATAGGGCCATTTGTGATGCTCTAGTAGATATGGCTGTGTCATTCGCCTTACATCGGGTTGTCAAAACGTGCACCAGAGATAATTCTGTTCTTATCTTGTTTTTTTAACCAATAGTATCACGAACCTAGGTTAGGACTGCGAGGTGGTCAAGAGAATTTTTGATCACAAAGCTGTACTTGTTAGCCTCAATATTCGTATCAAGCGTTCGAACCCTGAATTTGTCACGTTCCTTGATTTCAACAGATCTGACGATGTATCAATAATTGATGAACTTAGTTTTTATTTTGATGATTTTTGTGCCATAAGTCTAGACGCTGATGTCAATACGTTGCTTATATGTCAGTGTGTCGAACCGAAAAAAATACGGGTTCGGTTACGGGCCAGGTTCAGGTAAATTTATTTTGTTCCGGTTCAGTTCCGGTTCGATTAATTTGATCCGCGAACCGGTTCGCGAATCGGTACGGGGCGCTGAACCGGTTCGCGAACCGGTTCAGAAATTATAAATGACAAATTGCAACATCAAAATAAATTACAAATAAAACATCTGAAATCAGCACATAGGAAACGGGATACATCGTAGTGTAAGGCTCAGGGATTTCTACCAGGAATGGCTTCTTTATGTGCACTCAAAGGTTACCTCACCGACGTTTACGCATTCGGACTTCATCTAATTGGGTTCGACGCAGTAGCTGTAAAATCCGCGACCCCCTTACAAACCCACTTACAAGTAGAACTCGCTAACTATCCCGCCACCTCGGCGTGTAAGCAATTGAAGGAACAGTGGGGAGAAAATACAGCTTTCTTTATTGAAACTAGCCTTCGGTAACTCAAATTAGACCCTAAAAGAAGTTTTCATTAAACAAGATACGGAATATGAAAAACACTTCACCGAACGCAACGCCAGAAGGACGTAATAGGATAAATATTAAAATAGAAGAGTTCGCTGTCTCACAAATATGTTAGCTTCTAAGTGCCTATACGAAACCGGATGCATTATTATCAAACTCCACAGCCTTTTCTTTTCTCATTCCGATGGAAGCAAGCTTCAAGAACTCGCGCGTTCTAGAAACGTGTTATGAAATGAGCACACAGCAGCATTTAGGATTTACGAGATTGTAGGAAAATAAAATCCCGTGACGTGATTTTTTTTTTTTTTGCACAGTCTTTTCATTTTTTTTCTTCCGTGCAAGCCGCGACCAGCGCAATACTGGTTCCTACGTCAAGATTCATGGATGCAGCGTTTGTCAAGATTCATGGATGCAGCGTTTATATTCCTAAGACTGAGTGGAGAAGAAAAATATGTAAGCGAGGTGTGTGTCAGTTGCCGGCACTTAAAAAACAAATGGCATTGATAGCACATTCGTTGTCAATAGCGCGTGGCCGAACCGTCTTGACATGAGCCGGTAACCGTTATTTTTTTTCCGGTTCAGTTCCGGTTCGGGTTCATCGCGATAACAATATAACGTTTCGGGTTCGGGTTCAGCTCCGGAAAAAATACCGCTTCGGTTCCGGTTTTCGGTTCGGTTCTGTTCCGGTTCGACACCCTGTTATATATTTCAACTCCCTTGCAGATAAATGCATCAACTAATTTGTACCTGTTACTAAAAAGAAAAAAAGCCCTGCGCACCCCTGGATTACGAGAGAGGTGCTGCAGTTGATGCGAAAAACGAAGAGGAGACGTCGTTCAACGAAACATAACACAGAATCAGTTGTTCATGCCTCGTTTGAATATCTGAAAACAATCTTGAAAGACAGGATGTTAACAGCTAAAACCAAATATTTTAATGTAGCTTTGTCTGAATTTATGAAATCAAATACTGCCAAATTTTGGAGATCTATTTTACCAAAATGTAACATATCGAAGAATTTTACTATTGAAGGTGAATCCGTGAGTGAGCCGACAAAGATAGCGAACTGTTTAATGATTATTTTAAATTTATATTCAGTCGTGATAACGGCAATGATTCTGATTTTTTTTTTTTTAAGTTATATACCCAGCTCTTTCTGATTTAGAGATTAGTGTTTCTGGTGTCCTCAATCTACTAATGAAACTTGACTGTAAGAAAAGCCCTGGCCTTGATGGAATTCCAAATTTTTTTCTTCGCCGATATTCACTTTGGACTTTAAAATAGCTATCTGTCATTTTCAAAAAATCTATTACTGCAACAGTACCTCGGTCATGGAAGTCGGCTAAAACCATCTCCTTGTTCAAGTCGGGCAACAAACATGTGGTTACAATCTACAGACCCATTTCGCTCACATCGTGTTCATGCAAACTTTTGGAACATATTGTCCATAAGTAGATATCTGAGTACCTCGAGACTAATTTTATTCTTAGTCCGCAACGGCATGGTTTTCGTCGTGGCTACTCCACCTCAACCCAACTTAATTCACCCACGACATAGCTTTAGCTTTAGATAAAAGAGGACAACTTGATGCCATCTTTGATTATTCTAGGGCTTTCGATAAAGTGCCACATCATAAGCTTCTTCACAAACTACAAGCGCTATTAAATAATACGTCATTAGTTAATTGGATCGAAGATTATCTAAAAAATATATCACAGTTTGTCTCATATAGCGGTGTTCATTCTAGCCATGTCTCGGTTAGTTCCGGTGCCCCACGGGATCGGTTTTAGGACCTCTTTTGTTTTTACTTTATCTTAACGACGTTGCAAATAGTCTTCCAGTGAAAATTCGCCTCTATGCAGATTATTGCGTTTTGTACAACAAAATGAACTCGGTAGATGACCATGCCTTGCTAAATGACTCCTTTGAACAGTTTTTAATTGGAGTAAGAAGTGGCAGATGGACATTAATTTTGAGAAATCTGTAGTTATGTCATTTACTAATAAGAAGGAACCGTGTGTTTTCAGGTATGGTACTGGTAAAATAATTCTGAGTCAAGTTCATGAATACAAGTATTTGTGTATTTTTTCCACGCCTAGTCTCAAATGGAATAAGCACATCAGTTCTATTTGTTCTCGTGCTCTGCAAAGGCTAGGATATGTCAAAAGAACCTTAAAATCTTCAACTACGGAAGTTAAAATAACGGCGTATAAGACCTTGATTAGACTTATCTTAGAGTATGGTTGTGTGGTGTGGAATCCGTACCTAAAGGGTGATATTAACCAGATTGACGTAATACAATCAAAGGCAGCTAGAATTATTTGTAATAGATATCACCCCAATGTTTCTCCAACATCTACCATGACTGACATAGGACTTACGCCTCTTGATTCTAGACGCGCTGTCGAACGACTTCAGCTCCTACACAAAATAGTGAATAATAACTGTACACTTAATCGGGAAAAAATATGTTGGTTTTGTTACTGAATCACGCACTCGAAGCTTCCATCCTTTAAATCGTGTACCGTACAGAGCCCACCTTAACTGTTTTAAATATTCTTTTTTTTCTCGAACGATAGAAAACTCGAATAACATAAATAGATCAGTTCGTTATCTCGATTTTGATAGGTTTGTATTAGAAATACAGTAGGTGTTCTGGTATAGTGCCTGGAGTCTGCTATTGAAGTGTATGTGATTGTTTTTGTACTCTTTTAACTATATTGGATTTTTCACGGCTTTCTAAGTTTTGTTCGGTAGGGTGTGTACATCTTTAATCATTGGCCTTTTTGAATGTATATGTTTGTTTTCTTTCCACTCCTGCAATGACCTTATCGAGGTCGCAGTATTTTGAAATAAATAAATGAATAAAATATTGGTTTATTGCCTACGTCTGCGATAAAGGTATATCTCTATAACAGCGAACGTTACATCAAGCAAAATATCTAGAAGTTCATAGCTGGAAATTCAACAACACATCACGTGACTACATGAAACCCACTGCTACGTTTCTTCCCTTTCCACCATTTATGTATTGTTCCCCTCAGCAAATGAAAACACGCGCAATTCGCTTATACACAAAAAATGACCAGCCGTCTACTACCCTGTAGAGCCGTTGGACGGTCAAATACAGAAAGGATCTTCACGAATGACGAGGTCAAAGAAAGGTATTTTGACTTAAAAATAAAATCTGCGGTGTGTTATCGAGTATGATCTGATAATCTCAAAGTTAAGCCCAATGCCTCGACATGAGCATGATCTGATAATCTCAACGTTATGCCCAATGCTTCGACATGAGTTTGATTTATAGGTAGAAACTATTTTTAATATTTTGGCCTCGTCACTTGCCGTGCACCCTCCATTAAGGATCAAGTGTTGGGTTTTCCAAACAATTGGTCCAGTGTCCAGTGACACATCCTGTGTCCAGTTAAAAAACGTATTTGCTTTTGTGTGTATATTGCGCATTAAGAGTGTGCATTTCTGTGTGATTTTAAGATGTGTTAACTGGGTATGTTCCTTATTTTGTTCGGGACCTGCGTACTTCCTTGCCCTCCTGCTTAGACCAACCATGATCTGCCGTATGTAATAAATAAATAAAGAGTAGATCGAATACGCCCTGCTAATTCATCCCAGCGCGAAGCAAAACAGCCGTCATTGTCACAAATTATAGCCTCAAACCTAATACGTACGTCACGCCGTTACTCCAAGAGTATACCTTAAATTAGGCCTCAATGAAATCCGCCAATCACGCTGCGTTTTCCTGCGCGTGACGTCGGTGTATGACCCAGGAGCATGAGCTCGTTCGCCGACAGCAGAAATACCTACGTTACCGATACTTCAAAGATGACCTTGTAACACAAGCATAAAAGGGCGCTTCCCACATTGGTGTTTGATTGTGATCAACACAAAGTAATCAACTATGAGAGACGCTGGCACCACTCATCGGGTAGTCCTGGAACCAGACTGCGTAACTATAAACTGAAGGTTTTGCAGTATTTCCAAGGTCAAACCTTAGAACTATATGTGTGAAATGGTCTCTTTTAACATCGTCAGAGTAAGTTCGAGCCCACGTGGAATAATGATATGTAACACATACGCAGATTGAAAACGTCCCAGGACTCCCCGATAGATGGTGCCACCGTCGTAAGCTGTTAAAACGCACGGTAGATCGCAATCAAACGCAAATGTACGAACCAGTCTTAAGAGGTGAAACGGCCCGGTTAGGTGCACAGACGTAAGACAGGTCTTCTATTGATACTGATAGACTACCACGGGCTGCTCCACGGCAGGGGCGACCCTCTCGTCCTTGGGAACGTCCAGCTTCCAGCGCTTGATGAGCAGGTAGGCGACGTGCGCGACGATGGCGACTGCCACGACCATGGCGGACGTGGCGATCATTATCTTGATTGAGGCCCTACTGGGAACGGGATATTTTCCGGCGCGTTTCGCTTTAAGGGGTGCCGGGGTAGACAGGAGGACCGTGCGCGGTCTGGAGGATGACATGGTTGCCGGGGCGGCATCGTCCTCTTGCACCAGGACTTCCGGTTTGCCCTTCGACTTCTTGGCAAGAGGCGCTTCTACTGTGGATGCAACGGCGAGCTTGAGAGAGGGCCTGTACCTTCCAGAGGGTGATAAAGTAGAGAACGGCATATTATAAATACAGCATTTCACACAGACCGAGAGCAGCCGGCGTTGCGAGCTAGCCGGCAACAGCCAGGCGGCGCCGGCAGAGTGAGAGCCCACGGTTGTGCCCTGTCTCGTTGTAACTTGCGCACATTTCTTGGGGCATGACGCAGGGAAAAGCCTCGCACTTCTTCGCAGTAAAAGCACACTCCGTCGATACGTAGTCACGCGTCTCACTTCGTTGTTTCAATTTGCCCGCATGGGCCGCGCGAACGTCATGTGGTCACGTGACGGTCGGTGCGATCGGGAGAGGAGGTGTTGGACCGGGGAAGCGTCAGGCATGTGAGCCGTCGTTGTCGCGAAAGCAATGGAGGCCACGAAGTTTTCTCGTGAGCACAAAACGAGCTGTTGATTTCGCGCGTCCATAGCAAGCTTCGCCTTCTGGGACCGATCGAGGCCTTACGTTGGACAGCAGCGGACCCTAGGAGCCATTCCAATGACGTGTCACGTGACCTATGGGGGAGGCGCAGCAACGCACGGGGTGCGCAGACACGCGATATGCCCGCAGTAATCGCTTCGCTGGGATGGCTCCTAAGGTTCGCTGCAATCCATCGTGCATGGTTAGGGAATGTTGAGCAAACATTAACCTCGCGTAATATCTTCAAAAACACGCACACTTTCATGGGGTATAAACAAAAATGTTCCGTTCGTTTTGAATCCGGAAAACACGATAAAGCGGGAGCAGGCAACATTAAGATGCTCATGCATGGTTGAAAAGCCTCCTTGTAGGGATACTGGAACTGGGTGGAGCTGAATGGAACGACGTGTCGGAAGCGAAGTAGCATGTGCCTCGAGCTGCCACGTGCGGAGAGACGGAGCAGCTATTTTACCGATGGTTCGTACGTCGGATCGGGTAGCTTTATCGCGCTCACCCGCAAAAGGCACGACAAAGAGGTTCTTGTTTCTCAGCTAACGACCGCCTCTGACGTCACACCGGATAGGTGCACGCGTGTGCCTTGGGATACGTCTATAGGCGTGTTTTCGCGGCCACTCCCCGCTAGCAAAATCTGAACATGTAAAAATCTGTTATCACCTCAATCGCCTGGCGGGGATGAGCTGTGCCCGCAGCAGGTCACTCCCCACTTTTTGCGCATTCGCAGCAGAGCCCCTCTCGTTGGTCACCCTCTGGTCATCAGACGCTGCATACAAACGCAGTTCATGCAGCACCTTTGCGCCAAACTGTTAAAAGAAAAAGTATCGAAGTGCTCGAATGGCCATGAAATAATTTGGAGATGTTGACAAACAATATACGTTACTTTCAAAAACTGCAAGCTTGCATGTGCTCGTCCTTGCGTAGGCAAAAATTGTCTACAAAGCTCAATTTATATC